ACATAGGTATAATTTCTAATGGCCAAAATATATATCGGGAGCCACCATAAACCCATTTCAAGTGATCTTTCATTTGAGGGAACACTTGCTAACTTTCCAATTGTAAACTGTACAATTACACTGAATAATATACACGATAAATGTGTTATTCTTGAGGTGTTAGCTCTTTCAACAGCACGTCCCCGAGATTCAATGGCCTTAATTATACCAATGGGGTCTCTTCTTGACCATTTCAAACAATCAACAAGCTTCTGCTCTGAATCTACCTGCTGTTTCATTTCAGATATCACTCCCAGATACTTTTCTGGTTGCCTAATCCCAGTTGTACTCTTTTTACTTAATGTTTTAGATCTGGGTCCAAACACTCTCTTAGTAAACTCCTTCAAAACTGCAAAACCATTTTTCAGTGGATTTTCCCAAAATTTACCAAATAAATATCCATTCATCAGCTTTGAGGTACTTCTGTCAAGTGGATCCAAAGGATCATAGGTAATTAATTGGGGGAAGATGTTCGGATATGAATTTAATACTCTCTCCATTCGTTTGTTAATGTGGGAGAATTTAATGATGTCAATAGGATTGTTGGTGGAGAAGGTAACAATACAAAGTAACAATTCATCGGGAAGTTGATCAAGAGGTGCGGTGATAGGTTGTGATGTCATTTTTTTTGTAAACTTTTCAAATTTGTCACCATCACCATCATCAAATTCATCAAATAATTTTTGGAGACAACCTGTGAGTATTAAGATTGATTTATTTTTTACAAATTGTTCGTATTCCATTTCTATCAATGTTTGGTCATGAACTGAAAATTTGGCAAATAGACGTGTTGGTAATAGTTATCAAAAAAGTTATCAGCAGAACAAGAGATGTTTTCGGAGGAAAGTCCACCACTGTGGAGAGCCATGATTCTTCAGAATGTTATTGTCCAAAAAGTTTAAAACAATTATCAGATGAAATATTTGAATTTCATGTTTTAAATGTGAAGATAGAGAACCTTGAATCATGTATTTGTGAGAAAATCAAGAGTGAGAAGGCTTCATCATCTAGAGAATATTCCAAACTACCTGTATAAAAGCTTTTTACAATTTTGTAAACTGCAGTTTCTTCAAATAAATCATCAAGTATCAGTTGACCACAGAGAAATTGTTGGAGGAGAAGAGAGTTTGAAAGAATTCAGAGTTTACTTTGTAAACATGAAGATTTTGTTGTAATTTTGTAAAAACAATTTGAAAATCAGAAAATTGTGGATGATCGAAAAGTGTTGAAGTGAAATTTGTAACGTAATAAATTGTAATTTCATTCCACTTTACATAAAGCCAACCTTAATTACAAACTTTTTCAGGTAAATTAGAAAGAACACTCAAATCAGTAAAGAGTTGCTTCTTGTTGGAACTCCAAATCTAATAATTTCTTTGAAAAATCCTTCAAATACAGGAAAACCAAATACTGTTCACATGTTGATACAATGGAAAAGTAATTTTGAATGGAGAGCGTGAAATTAATCTTACAATAATAATCGACTAAATATTTAATTTCATGTTTCATTGCCATGTCTAACAATCCAGAAATTTTTTCATTGTCGAATGAAATTCCATAACAATATTTGATGATAATTTCCAATAATTCCAAATCTTCTGATTCATCTGGTGTGAAAATTCCATTATTAAAATCACTAAAGGATGATCCACTTTCCAATAGGTGGGTTTGGTACCTGTCATTATCTCTCTGGTTTGGGATCCGCACATGCTCAGATCTTATAACTTATCAATGTGATGTATAATAGTCTGATCTACATGTGGTAAAAACACGAAGGTGTAATATTCTATATTTATTGAGATAATCAATAAAGTTTAGTAATTGTCAGAAAAACTTGCCCTCTCGCCAAGAATTCATTTTGCCATATTTGGGATCTGGACTTTTATTGTCTGAAAACAGGCTAGACGTGTTCTATATTCAATAATCTATATGAAAAAAAGAAGAACTCTTGAATTGAGTATATAACGACTATTGATATTACTATATATGGTATTTGGATAATAACTTTCACAGAAATCACTCTTGAAATATAAAATGTACTAGAGTGTGTGAGAAACATAATGGTTGTAAAACTGATCAATAACTCGTTGAAATGACTGGTATAGAATGTAAACTATAGTGACAAAGTCCTGTAATTG